CCCCAAAACCCCAAAACCCCAAAACCCCAAAACCCCAAAACCCCGTAATGCTGTTGGTAAATTGAAGAACTTCATAAATGAGTTTTTGCGAACATCTGATAAATTTTCTCCCGCTGAAGTGAACTATGATTACGATTAATTATTCCATATGAGTAGGAATAATGATCAGCAGCTTCTCACTTTTTCTTCCTATAATTTTAACTAATTAGCTAATGTTTGGAAAAAGGAAGTCTGAATGGAAAAGTTCCTGGTTGTGCAACTTATCAATGAATGAACTAGCTGAACACCCTAAATCCTCCTTGTAGTGGTAGAAACCCTAACAATAGGCTAGGAGGTCCCCCGAGAGACCTCAGCCCAAGATACGAGTTTTTACTAAACTGTCTTTCGAAATCCATTTATTGACTTTGTCATGAAACTTCAAGAATTTTCAATATAGTTTCTGAAATTTCGGAAATGATCATCTTGAGTTTAATGGCTTTAGTAAGATTTGGAGGATTAATGATTAGAACTCTTGCTTCAGATAAATTAATGAAATTAGAAAGAAAGCGAAATTTCAAATTAAATGGGATGCAATTACAAGTATTGAGAAAGATGAATGATTATTAAACCCTTTATTCGTAAATAGACTAGGAGTAATGACTAGATGGGAGATTATGATCTTTCGCTATATTCTGAACCTAATAATTTACCATCTTTTAACCAAGATTTCCCAAAAAATATAAGAATCATTTCCCATCCTAGACTTAAAATGGAATTCACTACCCAAAATCTGCATTAAAACCCTCCTAAGCCACCTCTAAAATGGATTTTTAGCCATTTTCTTATCCAAACCAGCTCTTCTATCAAATTTCTCATCAGTTGCTTTATATTCATGCTAAAACTCCTATGAGCCGACTCATAGACTCTTCTACTTGATCATTCATAAAATTCACCCAAAAATGCCCCTATTTTATTTGAAACAACCCTGTTAATCTGCTTAAACCTTATATAAGTTACTCACTAAATTATTTTCCATAAAACTCTGATAACCCAGTTAGTTTTGGCCGTAAAGCTGAAGCTTTAACAATAAACTAGAGGATACTTTTAATAAGCCCTTGGAACAGTAAGAGCGTTACGATAAAGTGAATTAGCAATATTCAAAATGACAGTTAAGTCCCTACTATTTCATATTTAAGCCAAATCCTCAAGCTATGAAAATTCTGACGATATCCAGCAAGAGGCCCCACCAAGATGGGTTTTTACTCTTTACGACGTCTCTCTACGATGAAGGACCGAAGAGATATTTCAAATCGAAAATTCAACAACGATTTTAGTTGAGGACTAGAAAGAGTTTAACATTTATAATCATTTTAGAGCAGTTTTTACGAATTTTTAACTGAGAATTAAATTATAAGGGACTGATGGATTAACAAGCAAGTTAAGCCACTCCTCTTGATGTACTCTCTCTTCCTGATCACTCCTTAGGAATGCATCTTCATATGAGTCTATAGAAAGACGTTAGCTTAGCCAATTGGAAGCTTCATGAAATTTTCAAAAGTGCAGGAGGTAGATAAAAAGTTAGCTTACCTTGAGATTATAACGTTCTGTGAACCCTTTCTGACAGATCGAGCATTTGTATACTTTTCTTTCATCCAGAGTCTTAGTGAGATGCCTCTTAAAATGTTTCTTCAAGTTGCACTTCTGGACAAACTCTTTAGAGCATCTGCTTCAGCTGTACGGTTTGATTCCTTCATGCATGCGAACGTGGTCCAAGAAATTGCAAGCTTTGGCAAATGTCTTATTGCAGTTATCATACTTGCATATATAGGTGTATGTCACCTTCCTTACGATGTTATCTCCATGCTGCACCCTCTGGTAATGATAGGGCTTGAGAAGATGGAAATATTTCTCATCTTTATCTAAAGTCAAGGCTTCTATTTCTTGCTCTCTATCGTACTCAATCTGATTCCTTCTTTTGTCAGAAATATTTCCGTTAGGAATAGTCTGTGCCAATGAATCAGGGAGATATGAGGGCTGAGCCACTTCATTCTGAGCTAGGCCCTGACTTTTATTCAAATGGCAGTCACCAAATCAGTATTGGGACAGATCATTGAGAGGCGCCAATTGGCTTACTGAATCTGCAGTCAGCTTAACAAATGGAGAGTTTACTATTGGATTACAGTCTATATCAACAAGGTTAGTTCATGAAGTAATGATTCATATATCTTTATATCGCACAAAGGGAGTTTTTATCATCGCTCGTAAAAACCTGTCGGCATGTCCGATTATAATTCAAAGTATGACATATTCTTAATGCTGAATTTTTACTCCTGGATCAGAATATTCGTAAAATGAAGTGATGCAAGTGGGTAAAAATAATGTTTAAGAATCTGTTGGAAACTGGAGTAGAACTTTCGGAGATTTAGCTAAATTATTTCCATTTCCCTATCTTGTACACTCTAGGTATTATAATTATAATGGGACTACCAAGGTGGTAGTCTAAGGCATGTGAACTTAAAGTGCCCTCACAAACACCTCAGCCAGTAATTTTCCTGCTATTATGGAAAATAATTTCGGAAAATTTTATGAGCTAATTGTGGTCCTTTAAAATAAGTTGGTAATATACTCCAAACAAATTATTAACCTTCTCCCCCTTGATTGAGATCCGGAGGACAATAAAATACTTGAATAAGTATCTATAAAAAAGAGGGGAGAAGGCTGGTAAAGAGATATATGAATTAAATGATGGTGACCTTCCTCCTATTACGCTAAGTAGGGTTTGAACAGAACTGAAGGCTCTTTTTATAAATTATTCCTATTCCCTCCTCAAGAATGATACTAAATAGATTAAATCAGAGGTCGAACAGGAACCAATAGAGTATATAATAATTGGGGAGTTTCAAACATTTCAGTATTTAAAAAACTCCTCAGAAATGTCGAAGTAAAACTTATAGGTGAAAGTTAGTAGTATTTTAGGTGACAGTCTAGCTATAAAGTTTGCTAGCATCCCAAGAGATCTTTTATTACAACATAAATTGATCAAATTACAAATGAACCAGCTAGTCTACTTATGAGAGTGTTTTTAATCATCTTTTGGCTTGTACTAGAGTATTCTACACCAAAATTGCTTACTATCTGCTTTTTCAATTAATATTAAGGAAAAGTTTCTATTATTGCTAAAATATCAATAAAAAATTCAAACTGTGAATGAAATTTAGACTTACTAGTCCCAAAATATAGGCTAAATATAATTCTCCAAACTAGCAAGGCAAGTAATGATTTTTTAAGACCTAGACTGGTCGTTAGCAGATTCTTTTCCCCATAATGTTGTCTGCCAAGTCTATTACTGGCTTCGAATTGTATCAAATTATCAGTGGTTAATCCAAAGTTAATTTTTCTCATCTTACCATATTGAAACTGCAGAGCCTGCATTCCTTCTTGGTTGTTCATCCCAGAAGCAAAGAAGTCTGGTGGTACTGGAAGGCTCAAAGGTGTGCTTTGTCAGTTCATGCTTGATGAAGGACACATTGGAGTCATATCATAGTTGTCGTAATAAAAATTGTTCATTTGTTGTGGTCTATAAAAAGAAATTAATTCTGAAACAGGAATTCAGCAAAATAGCTGTTGTTTTATGTAAAAGGAATCATGCGGCGATGTATCAAGAAATGATTATAATAATACTTCCCAAAACTCTCACAATAAAGCCCCCCTAATCCACCTCTTCTCCCTGTTTAGCATCCCTTCACCTAAAATTCTCCAAAAGCCTCTACCCAAAATTCATTTTCCAAACCTCAAAATTCCAAAATCCAAAAACCAAGGGCCATACTCTAGTCTGAATAATTATTAATTAGAAGAATTCATTACTTAAATAATCGTTTGGGGTTTTGGGGTTTTGGGGTTTTGGGGTTTTGGGGTTTTGGGGTTTTGGGG